GGTGAGACTTGACAGCATTGACTATTCTCTCCCGGTGTGAAACAAGATCTGTTTTTCCTCATTTCAGAATACTGTCTATTGGTGTGGATGATCAAATTGATAAAAGCCAAGAAAAAAATATGTTATAGCACAAAAGTAAGCTAATTTGACCATCTCTACAAGAAAGATGCTCTATGGCTATTTCACTTTTCGAATCGAGCCGTACTACGCGGGTTGCCATTTTGTTTTGCCCAGAAGTTCTCGCAAGATCTGCTCCTCCCCTCTCTCTCTCTCTCTTTCTGAATCGGTGTGGACGATCAAATTGACCAAAACAAAGTTAAAACATGTTAAAACACAAAAGTAAATTAATTCGGTCGTCTACAAAGATCAGGCCTATGGCTAATTAACTTTTCGAATGGAGCCGAACTGCGCGGGTGGCCATTTTGTTTTGCCTGGAAGTTCTCCCGCTACTCCTCTCTCTCCCTTTCTCTCTCTCCACTGCCCACACAGACAAAATTGCACGCTTTTAGGCTAACAGTATTAAATTATTAATGGAACGTTTGTTCACGGCACAGAATTCTACAACTGTCAGGGTGAACACTACACTGTTTGGCCTAGGCTATAACGGTGAACGCACTCCGGGTGAGAATAGCCAAAAGACTCGCCTGCGCTATTCTCACCCGGGGTGAGAATAGAGGTGGCCTAATGAAATAAGCAGTTGAAACCGTTATTACCGCAGGCAAAAAGCAGAGTGATCAACTTGGCGGCTTGCTCGCTTATCCAATCACTGTTGTCACCGCTTACAACTATAGTAACCCAGCAGCCAATTAAATGTCTTTAGGGCTCAGCAAAGATAAGCCCTTTTCCCACAGCCCATCCTTAATGAAACTCTTCTTTTAAAAAGGTAGAAGACTGGGAAAAAATAACACTGTACCTGGGGCTCGCACTCTCTTAGCCCTGACAATGAGGTGAAAGTTTACGACACACTTTCTCCCAGTGACATAGATACCTATGCCGTGCGTTCATTGGTTCTTTGTTGAGTGCGTTCAACTTTCTCGACTACACGGCCTAATCCAGCTCATAGAAGTATTATGTTTAAACTGCTGTGTTTTCATGTTTGTGTTTGTGCCGCTGAGATTTAAGATATGTAAATCAGGTCGAACTACTTTTAAGGCAACATTTTCATCACACGAAAACTAATTACAGGAAATTTGGAGGTGAATCGGCTTCGTCCCCACCATCAACAAGAATTTAGCTAAGACTAAGAGCAAAGAGATGGAAAACAAAGGCAACTCTTCTCGTTTGAATGGTTCTGAAACTGTCGTGGCTCACCATGAGTATAGAAAAATCATCATTGTTAATGTTAAATAGTTCTTATTGCTTGCTATTTGGTGGTAAAGAACTGGAAGCAGCCTAAGCCCCACCCAAATTTTGGTCCACCCACGCCACTGGTTCTGATCTGTTCTACTCTAGATCTAAATCTAGTTTTGTTTTTGTAATGTCTCTGTACTTCATGATGATGTGTGTACGTGTAGCCTACTGCTGAAACTAGACGAGACAGGCAAAGATGTATTTGGAATAGAAAAAGGTAGGCTAGATCTATTCTTTTACTTTCACTACCATCTTCAATATTGTATTTGTGTGTATAGCCTTTAGGCTTTTTCTTGTTCTTTTTTATGTCACATTGAAGCTACTTTATAAGGCCACCTTTATTCTCACCCGGGGTGAGAATAGCGCAGGCGAGTATTTTGGCTATTCTCACCCGATGGGCGTTCACCGTTATAGCCTAGGCCAACCAGTGAAGCGTTCACCCTGAACCATAGAATTCTACACTGTGATAACAGAATTATAGAATTCTGTGCTGTGAACAAATGTTCTAGATCTATTACTAATGTTAGTGTTAGCCTAAAAGCGTGCAATTTTGTCTGTGGGCAGTGGAGAGAGAAAAAGAGAGAGAGAGAGGAGTAGCGCGAGAACTTCCGGGCAAAACAGAATGGCGACCCGCATAGTTCAGCTCGATTCGGAAAGTTAAATAGCACATAGCATCTTTGTAGACAACCAAATTAATTTCGTTTTGTTTTTTAACATCATTTTTTAACTTTGTTTTGGTCAATTTGATCGTCCATACCGATAGACAGTATTCAGAAAGAGACAGAGAGAGAGAGAGAGGGGGGGAGCGGAGGAGTAGATCTTGCGAGAACTTCCGGGCAAAAAAAAATGGCGACCCGCGTAGTTCGGCTCAATTTGAAAAGTGAAATAGCCAAAGCA